AACCATTTCCCGAGCCAAGACTAAACACTTTCGAGTGTTTTGGTCTAAACACCTTGAGGATAAACACTATCGAGTGTTTTGGTCCAAACACCTTGAGGAAGCTAAAAGAAAGCGGGACGCCCTTCGCAACACTGCTGATCAGAAAAAGAGAGGGACGCTCTTTGCAACACTGCTGATCAGACTGGAAGTGGGACGTCCTTCGCAACCCTGCTGATCAGACTGGAAGAACGGAAGACATAAAAGCCTGGAGACGACAAACAGATGTCCTAAGGCAAGTCATCTTACAAGCTAAACGCACTTCTTTCGACAAGTTCATCCAATCTTACAAGCTAAACGAACTTCCTTCGACAAGTTCATCTCTATCAAAGTGATGACCAACGCACTTTCAAATTTCTGAGAAACCTCCAAAACAACATCGACAAGTTCATCTCAAATATCAACTATCAAAGTGATAGAAAAGTTCATCTCAAATATCAACTACCAAAGTGATGGCCAACCCAATTCCTGGGTAACCTCCAAAACAACAGAGAAAGACCCACGATGTCTTGGAGACCTGCAAAACAACAGAGAAAGACCCAAGAAAGAACCGCTAAACAACACAGAAAGACCCAAGAAAGAACCAATACGCTTATGGGAGACCCAAGAAAGAACCAATACGCTTAAACAGCAAATTGTAAGACCCAAGAAAGAATCAATATGCTTAAAATCAAATTGCTTAAATTCCTGGGTAACCTCCAAAACAACAGAGAAAGACCCAGAACCACACTTTCAAATTCCTGGGTAACCTCCAAAACAACGGGGAAAGACCCAAGAAAGAACCAATACGCTTTAAAACACGCTTACCTAACGAAATAGCTAACTGCTTTGCGAGGTTCTATTCCCATAACAAATACGTTTAAAAAACAAACTGCTTACCACCGACTCCGAACAGTTAACTGCTTTGCGAAGTTCTATTCCCACAAGCAAAAGAAACCTTTGCGAGATTCTATTCCCACAAGCAAAAGAAAAACCCTACGAGGTTCTATTCCCACAAGCAAAAGAAAAACCCTTTTGTTGACTCTTCAAGAGATATAAAGAAACAAGTAAGACAGTTTGGTGAAATTAAGGAAGACGACACCAAATAATGTACTTACTGAACCATTCAGACCTTGAAACTTGATGCTGCGATAAAACAGCTAAATTGCAAGAAGTCTCCTGGCAAAGACGGTATTCATCCTGAGTTTCTAATTAGAATGGAACCAACAGCCAAGGAAACCATGCTGACCCTTTACAACAAAATCTGG